AAATTTGGCATCTTGGAGCAATTTATCTTAGTATCAGCCCCGCCGGGGGCTCTAACTAATTCATCTGATTAAATGGCTACCTTTGTTCGCTGTCTTCCTTATCGACCTTAGCCCATTGTGCAGCTCTAGTGCGACGTAAATTAACAACAACAACAATCCTTTTCGACCCTGTCCTTTGCCCAGAGAATGACGTCACAACTATTACTAGAGATAGTAGAAACAATATATCGGAGGCTTCGGTACTGCGTGCTCATATCCAGGGGTTTCTAGAATGTTCCAGAATGTTTCAATCTGCCCTATATAAACGGGAGCTCTACATCATTCTGCCTATGCGTTTGGTGGTGTTCAGACGTGGCTTTGGCTCTACTTGTGGGTTCCTTTACGGGCTCATAGTAAAAGGGTGTGAGTCTATTGCTGCTTCAAAGTGCTATTAAATGTTTTTTTTTCCTTTTAAGCTGAGAGTATAATTTCAGAATATGCAGAGCTGTGATAGTTATGGAATAGTATATATTTCTGAATTTATATAACGCGGAAACAACAATAAAGAATCATCCGAATTACTTGAAATCTTGGTAAGTATTTTGTAATTTTAAATGATAAATTTTAACTAGAATTCAGCTGTTAGATTTTTTAAGTTACATATTAAAATTCACATGGAGATCTTGCAATTTTTAGAATCTTTTTTTTTTCGTAAGCATTCTTTATTTGCGTTTTTTAGTTTATAAATAATTATTTTTATTAAACTTAACATTTTATTATGAAAATAGTTGCTAAAAAACTTTTAGCCAAATTAAATGACATAAAATTTTGTGCTTATGTATACTTTTTGCATATCTTAATGTTTGAAGTAATATGATTCATAAACCTGTGGAATGTAAAGTTTAAATAGGGCATTCCATTCATGTAATATAATTAAACGATTATTTATATTTACTAAAACGATTTCGCATGCATTAGGTTTTAACTCTAATAGGAAGCAGGGCCTGATTATCGCCTAGGCCCAATAGGCATGGGCCTCAAAAATTAGTAAAAAGCCTAATGAACGGTGGGCTAGCTTTGTGTTGGTTTAAGTATTAAGTAAAAATCGGTGTTACAGCAGACAGTATTAAATACAAATCAGTGACTTTTAGCAAAAATCACTGATTTCAATTGTTTGTGGCCACCAAACTATTTTTATTTTGATATAGCATTATTTTTTGTTTTATATTTTGCTTTAATTTATAGATACGTAAACTGTATCTTAGAAAAATTATCTTTAATTGTCTGCTTTCAAAATTTCTTAGAATGTTTCTCTTGAATCGTGCAGTTCAATAGATTGTATTTCATTGTTAGGACTGAGGGGAATGTTCATCTATCAAAAGGTACCTCGAGATGGAATCGAGTTAACATGTCTTATATACTAGTGATTTGGTATTTAATATTTGTAGTGGTAGTTACGCCACATTACTCCCCTTCCAGAATATAATATCTGATAGAATTCGATGAACTGCTACCACAAGTTGATTCATGCTGTAAATTTATTTGTATCAATTTTGCTCACTTTATACATATATATATATATATATATATATTTGTTTATAGCATTTTGCTCATTTTTTTCTTCTTCAATATTGTTTATTGATCGGGAGTCTTTATTTACTTCACCGGATTTTTTTTTTTTTTTTGAGCAGTACATTTTTTAAGCAAATTAACTGTTTAATGTGGATCATCCATCAATGTTGGCATGTTTATATCACGTACGCAGGTCACCAATGAGGGGAATGTTTAACTAACGACTATGTCAACCTTCATCTGTCAATAGGTAGAATCGAGTTAACATGGCTTATATACTAGTGATTTGGTATTTAATATTTGTAGTGGTAGTTACGCCACATTACTCCCCTTCCAGAATATAATCTCTGGTAGAATTCGATGAACTGTTATCACTAGTTGATTCATGCTGTTTATTTATTTGTATCAATTTTGCTCATTTTTTTCCCCTTCGATATTGTTTATTGATCGGGAGTCTTTATTTACTTCACCGGATTTATTTTTTTTTGAGCAGTACATTTTTTAAGCAAATTAACTGTTTAATGTGAATCATCCATCAATGTTGTCATGTTTATATCACGTACGCAAGTCACCAATGAGGGGAATGTTTAACTATCGACTATGTCAACCTTCATCTATCAAAAGGTAGAATCGAGTTAACATGGGTTATATACTAATGATTTGGTATTTAATATTTGTAGTGGTAGTTACGCCACATTACTCCCCTTCCAGAATATAATCTCTGGTAGAATTCGATGAACTGTTATCACTAGTTGATTCATGCTGTTTATTTATTTGTATCAATTTTGCTCATTTTTTTCCCCTTCAATATTGTTTATTAATCGGGAGTCTTTATTTACTTCACCGGATTTTTTTTGTTTTTTTGAGCAGTACATTTTTTAAGCAAATTAGCTGTTTAATGTGGATCATCCATCAATGTTGGCATGTTTATATCACGTACGCAGGTCACCAATGAGGGGAATTTTAACTATCGACTATGCCAACCTTCATCTATCAAAAGGTACCTCAAGATAGAATCGAGTTAACATGTCTTATATACTAGTGATTTGGTATTTAGTATTTGTAGTGGTAGTTTCGCCACAGGACTACTCTTCAGTAATTTAATTTGAAAATATCTTGTAAGGGGCCCGGAAAATTTGGTGGGCCTGAATTTGTCTTGATCGGTCCCTGATAGGAAGATACATATTTTTTGTCCTGTTTATTTACAAAAATTTTGGATGATCCTTCTCTAAAATGAAAGTTCGAATAAAAGTAGTCATTGCAATCGCGAATTGCTATTAAACTCTAATGTGTGTAAGATCATCATCCAGAAGTTAATCCCTGAGAGACGCAGAGCCGATTGACTTGATATGTCGACATACATATCTACCGGGGACTTGGCATGGCTCCACACAGTACCGGACGAGGCTTATGTAAACTCGCTAAGGGAGATACGGATCCCTGCACTGGGTGGCTGGATATGTTACGCAACATTAGAGTTGCAATACTAATTTTGGGCAGCGAGCACCAACGTTGCTTTGCTTTCCCTTTATGTGTCTTGGAAGGGAAGTATAACTTTTGCTTCCCATTTCGGTTGCCTGCCACTCGAGGTATGACAACAGCTTTTTTTTCTTTGTGGTCGTCCTCTGTCCTGTCGCTTTCTGTTTGCTCTTTTGTTTTGAAATCAGAGTCTTGGACACTGTAAGTATACACATTTTGTGAGTCTTTTTAAAACTGTGTCGTGAAATATGATATGTTTACAATTTTTAGCCGAACAAAGTCAAAGTGTTGACACGAAATGAAAAGAGGTAACAATGTTTATTAATCATGGTAAATGAAACAAGATGTATGGTTTAAGGTATATGGTATATAAAACAAGGTGCATGGTTTAAAGAAGGTATACAAAACAGGGTGTATGGGTTTAGAATGTTGATGGTGTACGTACCCCAAAGTGAGTACGAGCAGTGTTCAACTTAATGTGAAATGTGTTTTATTTAAAAATGAAAGTTTGAAAAAAAATAAAATACAACACAAACTCTAATCTTTAGCATGACAAACTTGACAAGCAATTACAAACACTATTTAACACAAGCCTTAACAAACACTATTCAACAAACAAATCCCAAGTTTCAAAACGTACAGCCCTCAAACATGATACAGCACAATTCGACAAAAACTAAACCTGTTAAAAAAAAAAAATTTAATAGTTTTTTTTTTTTTTAGTGCTCAAGACATTTGTCCAGAAAGTTCCAGACATCTCTAGGGCACCCACTGCGCACAACACTTTGTTATAATAAGGCTCGCTTGCAAACGACAGTGTTCTTTCCAGCGAGACTTTATGATGTTGATGGACGACATTCTCGACTTTGAATTGGATGAATCATCTGTAGGACCAGAGATGGAAAATCCCGATAGTCTTATTAGGCTGCCAGAAGTACCAAACGTGCCGATGGTGTCGGCAAAAGATGCACGGAATCGATTAAATTTGATGAAGACTTCTCGTGTCGTGGATTCTTCTCAGACGGTGAAAGAGGATATCCCTATTAAATGTGCACCTGAAAGACAGACTGTTTCAAGTGTGTCACCACCCAGTAGGGATCCAAAATCCAGACCGTTTCATTTAAAACGTTATGTACCTTATGAACGAAATGTGCACATGCACGAGAAATGCTTGGGTGTATTGTGCATACAAGAAAATGGATACAGTTTGACTAATGGCGTCGAAACAATATCTTGGGATGGTGAAGTGGAAGTGGATCCCCAGCAACTGTTGAAAGATGTAATTTTTTCCAAAGTGGGATATATGTTGACGGCCGATGAGGACACCTACAAGACTTGGAAGTCTATCGTCGCAAAGCTGGACAGCATACACCCTATAAAGTATTTAAATGTCATGAAACTTAATGTAAAAGAGCCTTTAGGGATATGTTTATTTTGTACAAAACAGTGCCATCGATTTAAAGTTGTGACGGGTGGCTTTTGTCAAATTTCACATGTGCCTTTAGATATAGTTCCACATTAATTTGTATTTTATATATGTACTAGCTGACCCGGCAAACGATGTTTTGCCATATGAATTATTTCTAGAGTATGAAAATATATCTTATATTACATAAAAAAAGGCTAATACGTATGTATGCATCAATAAAACCGATGATATTTCTTTTCTCGCGTTGGCAACAGTTTTCATTTTTAATTGATAGGATTCGGCGCGCAAGAGCACATAGTGAGCATCATATGGCTAATCTATATTATATAAAACGCTATTACGTTTTAATTGATAGGCTTTGGCGCGCAAGAGCATGTAGTGAATATCATATGTCTAATCGGGTGAATTCTCACCGAATTATCAAGAAAATTCTCACAAAATTATCTTCATCGAAGCCGATNATATTATCATGTTTTTAGGGCATGAATCTGAATTGAACAACCTGATAATGCTCACTTTGGTTATTGTTTCCGATTTTAAAAGCGCTATATGTTGAGCCACCTCATGTGACATTTGCCATGTGACTTTTTTGGAGCAATCATTGGTTGATTTTCTAACGTTGCCATTCGGGGAGTTGTAATGAGGCTTTTTTTTGGTGCCGTGTAAGAGAAATATATATATAGATATTTGTTTATAGCATTTTGCTCATTTTTTTCTTCAATATTGTTTATTGATCGGGAGTCTTTATTTACTTCACCGGATTTTTTTTTTTTTGAGCAGTGCATTTTTTAAGCAAATTAACTGTTTAATGTGGATCATCCATCAATGTTGGCATGTTTATATCACGTATGCAGGTCACCAATGAGGGGAATGTTTAACTATCGACTATGTCAACCTTCATCTATCAAAAGGTAGAATCGAGTTAACATGGCTTATATACTAATGATTTGGTATTTAATATTTGTAGTGGTAGTTACGCAGGGCCGTAACTACGCCGGGGCAGCCGGGGCACCGCCCCGGGGCCCCGGCGGTCAAGGGGGCCCCATATTAAGAGACAATATCATGTTTTTTCAAAATACAGTACTCTAATTATATATATGTAGGAAAGAAATCGTGTTAAGATAGAGTTGCTGAAAATTTTCTTTTTTGTAATTACGTACCTACTATAACATAAAGGAAAGGGTAAAAAACAGTAATACACCTTTTCGCGAATTATTTCCCTTTCTCAAAAGAACAAACACGCTTTTCAGAGAAGGGGAAAGGCCACAGCTGCATGTAGTTGATTGTTAACACTTTCAGTATATTGCACTTCTGGTTTAATTAGTTGTTTCCTCTACTATCTAGCGTCAGACCCAGTGGCGTGCCAACCATGGGAGGCAGAGGGCCTCTCTAAAATTTAGGTGATGAGGCAAACGATGCGTTTTGCCCCTCCTGAAATTTAGACACTCACGAAAATAAAGTAAAATCGGTAATTTAAATTTTTTTTTCAATTTTGAAGCTATTTTTGAAATAAGAAAACTTTATATTCCACTAACATTTATGTGCTTTGCCTCTTCTGATATTTAGTTATTCGCCAAGACGAAGTCCATTAAAATAGGTAATTTTAGAGAAGAAAAAAAAGATATTCTTTCTCAGCTTTGAAGTTATACATCAAGTAGGAAACTTTATTTTGTTATGGGCGATTCGCGTGTTTTTTGACTTTTGGAAAAGTAAAGTGAAAGTGGAAAAAATATTTTATTTCCAATTTTCACTCTATTTTCTTCCGAAATAGTAATGAGGGGGCAAACATAGCGTTTCGCCTCTTCTGAAATTTCAAAGTGCTAAAAAATAATAGAAATTGGTAAAAAAAATTTCATCTTTGTAACTATTTCAGAATAGAAAACTTTATTTTCTTCTGAAATAAAAGTGAGGGGGGGGGGTTTCTTCTCATCTTCTGAAATTTAGACATCAATAGAATAAAATCAAGTAAAGTAGGAAATTTTAGAAGAAAAAAATTGTTTTGTTTCATAACTTCGACGATATTTTCCAAATAGAAAACTTCATTTTCCTCTTAAATTATAGTAAGGGGATGGAAAACTTTATTCTCTTCTGATAGTAAGGGGGGCTAAAATGCGTTTTGTATCATCTGAAATTTAGACATTTAAAATAATAAAGTCTAGTAAAATTGTTTTGTTTTTTTTTAAAAAAAAAAAAAAAAACTTTGAATCTATTCTCCAAAAAGAAAATTTTATTTTACTCTTAAATTAAAGTGAGGGGGCGAAGAATATACTTCACCCCTTCTGAAATTCAGACATTCGCTGGAACAAAGTCAAGTAAAATTCATATTTAGCTCTTATTTTCGACTTTAAAGCTATTTTCCAAATCGAAAACTTTATTTTCCTCTGAAATTTAATTGAGATGGAAGATTATGTGCTCCATCTCTTCTAAAAATTTGATATTCGCTACAATAAAGTAAAATAGAATCGAGAATTTTAGAAAAAGAAACTACTTTTTTTTTCAATTTACTAGCTATTTTCCAAATTGAAGGTGAAATCCCCCCCCCCCACAAGAAAAATATTCGGTTTTGTTTCAATTTTTTTCTACATGTTACGACTTTTAATTTATTAAAAAAATTTAAAACTAAAACACGAAAAGAGAAGAAGAGCACATCATAAAAAAACATAACAAGTGTTTAGAAAACTAAAATAAGTACCACTGTTTTGCATCCTGAAAAATGCATCCTACACTGAGACTAATAGATATATTTTAAAGCATCTTTTGACTGTGGGTGGTATGAAGGTGTTAAAACCCTCATACCACCCACAGAGTTGACCCACAGTTATCTGACTCCTCAAAAAATAGCCATCTCCTTTTACACCATAGGAAAATGACCTTCTGCTTCTTTAAATTGCCTTAAACATTTTTATGACCCTGGGCTCTTTTGTGCTTTTATAAAATGTCATATATTTACAGTAGCATCTATATGTCCCTTAAGTTGTCTTAAACTAGCAATCATCTAGATGTTCCAGGAAAACAGATGTAAGCTTTTAAGGGATCCAAGGGGATGACTCTTGTTGACATTAACTTAGGTCATTTTGTCAAGAGATTTTTTCTGAGACAAGCGTAAAACGTTCCAGTTAAATTCCAGTTTTTAGCTCATTTAATTGCTTCATTTAAATTAACAATTTTTAATTCAGATATATATTTTCTGTTAGCTTTTATTTTATTCAATTTTTGAAATTAAAATTTAGCTTTAATTAAGAGTTATCGAAATTACTTGCAACTTCCTTTTTTTTTAAACATAAATCGTGATATCAACAATTCCCATTCTTAAGAAAATTTTTCTTTGGAAAACAAGAAAACCAGATGTAAATTTATTTATAAAGAGGTAAGTAAATGTTTGCATTAACTCATTTAATACATTTAAATTTTAGATTTATATACTGTTCGAATTCTTTTATAAGAATGGTAACATAAAAATTGCTTTTTTTTATGTTCGTATATAAAATTTAATTTGTATAGTAAATACTTTAATTGATAATTTTACTGTTTATTGTGAACATGGATTTTGTTCTTATTTTATATTTTTCAAATTATTAAGGACTTTAAATTTTTTAAATTGGAACTTCGAATTTTTAGGGTTTTTAACAACTTTGTTTTCATTAAAAAGTGAAATGCAATCTTTATTTTATATAAAAAAAATCATATTTAATTTAATAAAAGAACGCATTTAATTTAATAAAAAAGGTATGAACATCAACTTAGAAATCCGTAGCAATTAAAATTCATTTCCATGACAAACCATTAAAAAGAATTTTTTTTTTTAATTAGCAAACATGCTTTGACTTTTTTTCATTTTCCTTTCATTAAAAAAAACTATTACTCTTTGTCATAATTTTGTCACATATGATTACATGGCGTCATGAATACATTGGCCAAATATTCAAGAACGATTTTCTAGGTACCTGCCCATATTGGAGTAAGGTAACTTTGTTTTTGTTAATCGATGCATATAGAGAAACAATTTCTGAATATTTTTTCAATTAGTACTTTTTAAAATGTGGGTACATGTGCCGATAGAGAAAAAAAAGTCTATAATTTCCTTCAGTTTTCATAACGCGATCAAAAACCTTTAAATTTGAAATTAAAAAATAATTTTCATTTTTATAATGGTTTTGTCTTGAAAAGACCTTCCTAACGATATAGTAACCGGATTCAACAGGTTTATAAAATTCGTATTTTATGATTAGCATTATATTTAGAGGAAAAGGAGGCTACTGTGGACATGGAGGACAGGAGTAGACAACATGAATTCTCGCCCTAGTCATATTTCCTCGGTGAGATGTCGTAAATTGGTAACATTTACGTACAGTGAACCAAAAAAGTACCACCCTGAATAACTTTTGATTTAATGATCGGATCTTCACGTTCTAGGACTCCATCTTAATAATTCAAGGGTGTGACATCAAATATGCAAATTAATTAGTGCACGATATTTTATTTTAAGTTACGCAAGTTAAGTATGTTACAAAAACATACTTTCTCTGAATAAACATAACTTTTGTTCAACAGATTCGATTTTCTAACCCCCGTAATATAGGAGGAGGCTGTAATTTGGGGAATATGGTCCCAATTGTTGAGTCGGGTGAGCTATCCAAAGTTTGGACCCCCAAATGTTAATTTTATTTTTTTGTATTTCACTACAGATCGAGAGCTCTTTAAGGGAAATGAAAAAATTTTGCACACGATTATAAAATTCTGTTATCTAAAGAGAATTCCATGCAAAAAATAACTTTTAGTAAATATTTATTATTTTTTATTTAATAATAGTCTGATGTTGATCATTTATGTCGCACTAGTGCTGCACAATAGACTATAGGCGACGGTCTGGGAAAGATCCCTTGAGGTTTGATCCTTTGTAGAGGGGATGGCACCCCCGCTTCGGTAGCCCGGTGACCTGCACCCGAAGTCGAGCACTTAATCGTAGAACAGTTTAACGAGGACCAATACCGCACACCCTCGGTCCCAACGCAGACGGACCCAAGTGGTCACCCACCCGCACACTGACCGCAGCCAGTGATGCTTGACTTCGGTGATCTGCTAGGAACCGTGTCTTAACGATCAGTCCCCTTTGGGACAATAATAGTCTGAAAACTTTTGAATCGTAGAGATAGTTTTTATTTTATGTTTTTATTTATTTTTATAGATCATTTTAAAGTATCTAATTCCACATGGAA